GACTGAAATCTGGGTCTCCATGTGCTTTTCCCTAGGAGATGTGTTGCACTAGGAGAGAAGTGGTGAAGCAAATGCTATATCACCCAAAAGTTACATAAAATTCTTTGATGTGTGTAAGTGCAAAGTTTTATTTTTGCACTAAAAAGCAGTATTATTTTCACTGTCATACAAAATCACTTATGCCTGGATTGTGGTTATGTCTAAGACTGAATTGTGTGAAAATAAATTTGCACTAATCAGCCTTAGATAAGTAGAATGCAAAATAATGGATTGTCTTAATTTCATGTTTTACAATGTTAAAAACCAATCTAGCAGCAGAATATTTAGGACAGCTTACAGTGGGTTCGTAAAGTGGTTCTTTTTCTGGAGGCTGTGATCTTCTGCTTCAGAATCTAACCTTTCATTTAAAAAAAAATCTTTAGCAGATATAATGGCAAAGATAACCTTAAAATGTAACACAAGTGTATCCAATTCAGTTCTTTCTTCCTGAGTCCGCAGTGAGTTTGAAACAACATCCATTAGAGACAGCTGAATTACCTCTCCATTTCAAGGGGTTGATACTTCTGAAATATAAGAGCAGAAGTTTGTGTCAATATTATTGACTATTTCATGCTGATAAAAGCATGTAAGAATATGGAGGGATGAACATAAAAATCTACCGTGACTTGTTTTCGTGTTTCAAGAAGGTGGAGGTTGCTTTGTAGATGGAATTTAGGACAGTAATGCTGTTTTTTCCAGTATGGTCCCTGGTGTATAATACAAAATAATGTGGTTGTGTGAATAACTGTCCCTATCTGTGCTGCAGAAATGACAGACCCAGAGACCTTGTGGGATGGTGGAGAGAGGACCACACAAAGGTTAAGGAAGCCAAAGAAAATGCAGGCAGCAGGGGGGAGGCTTTTGGAGAAGGTGCCTGACCTTCTCTTTTCTTTTTCTGACCAACTTTGAGAGCACTTCTAGACAGGTGCTTTCTTCAGCTGCTACCTTCCTATGGTGGGCAGAAGAGAGACTCCCTCCTGCATGCCTTGAGAGTTCCACTATAAGATAGTAGGGGCACCTGCCGTGACTGCCCCTGCTGTGCACCTTGGAAGTTCTGCAGATTGCAATGTCCCTGCCCTGCAGTATTCCAAAATGTCCGCTCAGTTTAGGAATTCTGAAGGACAAGTGTATATAGCCCTTCCCCCTGCCCATTTTTAACTCCAGCAGCTCCCTAGCCACAATCTACTTCTCCCACAACTCCCCAGACTTGACTCTGAAGAGTCCTCGCTCCCTTCCAGAAGATGCAGTAAGCCCCTCAGGGAGGGAAGGGAGCTAGAGCTAAATTGTAACAGCTGTCTGGGGGTTAACTTAGCACTGCAGGCAAGGCTATTGTAGGCCATCTCTGAAAGGGAGGGAGTTGTGGCAGCAGGCGGCTGATGGTGTAGCGTTCTTCGCCATGATAGGCCTGGTCATATAATTCCCGTGGCCTTGTCATATAATTTAGATCTACTGTATTGCACAGTACAAGGGGCTTTGAGTATTATATTCTTCTTGTACTACACAACTCAAGCCTCTTCTACAAATCAAAATGTTGCTAGTACTAAAAGAATGGCTGAAAGCTCTTAATGTGCTTGAGCATGACGTTAAGACTGAGGTAGCTGAAGTCACTTCCCCTGCAATCACATTCAGAGAGTCATTGTTAAAGATCAAAACATAGTTAAATTGTACAAATGCAGTATCAAGTTGTTTAAATGAATACAAACCTATATTATTTATACCATACTTTATTTATAGTAGCTTTTCTCACACCATGGTGTCTGGGTCCCCTGAGAAGCATTGGGCATTTATTTTCTGGTAGTCTATGGACTCCCCTTTGTTTCCAGCCATTAAATCAAAGTAATAGAAACTGAATACATTAAATATTTGCCTAATATTACTTTTCATGGAAGCAAGGGTTGCTACAGTGATGTCAATTAAGTGATTGTAGGATGGGAGAGGAGACTGAACAGGAGAGGAACCATCCAACCAACGTCTATTACCATGTGTCCTACACTGTGTAATTTGTTTATAGTGGAAGTAAAAATCGCAGTGCCATCACTGGTACTAGACTGAGAGATCTGGATGCAAGTTGCAGATGTTCTCAATGTAGGACACCAGCTGGTATATTAAGAGTCAGCAGGAATCTCAAAGAATGTTATATATATTTAGTGATATTGCCACAGGCAGAAGATAGAGTTCAAATCATCATTGTGATGTGTTTCTGGGTAAGGAGACCTGATTTGTTCTGTAACATCTGGGTTTTTTTACGGAAGTATTAACTGTTCTAATGTGTCTGCTTGTTTAGGAACATCAGTACTTTTATATCACTTAATCTGTCATCCAACACTGTCTCTGAAATGCCAAATTACATGGCTAAAATGTTCAGCAGCACAGCAAAAGGACGCATTTCTGAAGTTTACTCCACCTTTATCATCACATTTCTCTTTTGTCATTACAACTACTCTAGCTTTGCAGAACTATTTCTTCCTGTGAGTTGATTGACAGTGTTACCAGCTATGTAACACCTAGGCATTCCACAGAACAGATCATCCTCAAACTGCAAAGATTGTCTAACCAGAAAAGCTGACACTTCAACAGTTATTTAAAGGACATAAAACTGCTATGCACAATCTCACCTGAAATATTGCTCTTATGGAAAATGTTAGATGAAATCATAATTATGCAGCTTCTATTTTCGATAGTGAAAAATGCTGGGACTTGCAATCCTTAACTGGGCAGAGTTATGAACAATAAACCTACCTCATATCTGTGTTACACATACTTAACTACATATAATGCATCAGGCATTGAATTTTAGTCAATAAGTCATTCAGTGCAGCAGGGGAACAGTGATGCATCTAAACCTAGATTTTTATATCAGCTTTCTTTCTTTTCAGCTATTAAATGGCACTTGAAATTGTTAAGCAAATGTTTGTATTTGCTAGACAAGCTAAAACAATAAAGTATTGGTAGCTTTCTCAAAAAGCACTGAAAATCAGAGGTAGAGGGCATTTTGAAAATAGTGAAGGAAGGCTGTTCTGCACATGTGCTGTTTTCTGAATGGTATAGGGTATGAGGTTTTTTAAAGTGAAGAGTACAAGTAGAGAAAGTAATTTTTCTTCAACTCTATTTTAGGCATTTGCCCAAAGCTGTCAATAACACCTTCAACTTTTAGGGTAGAAAAATAACAAATAAGTTCCCAGCCCTCTTCTCCCTATTTAGAATATTGGTACAGGATAGGATTCTATCCATTATAATACATTATTGAACAGCAAAGGACTGGAAGTCAGTACAGATTGGAAAGACCATAGAAAACACAACTTCCTGCAATTCAGTAGAACTAAGTACAGTAGGTTCTATATAAGTTATTGCCCAGTGACACTACATCAAAAGATGGCTTTTAATTCAGCTACTTTAAGACACTCAATAACACCAGTGTCAACTGTTAGCGAAACATAGTATTTAAGCCCCTGATCCTTCACTATGTTGCATATCAGAGTACTAGTGTACAAATATAGAGCTCCATTAAAGTAAGTGGGACTCTGCATAAGTGCATGCATCTCCCTGCATGGAATCAAGTGGAGAATCACATCCTAAGCAGAATGTATCCTGGCTGAAGATTGAAACATAAAACTTGCTATATAAGTTATAATCATTGGAGCGTTTGTCTATAACTAAGTTTGAAAAGTTGATTGAATAATCAAGTTATGAATAATTCTCCCTTAGTTCAAGTGGTAGAGGCCTATGGCTTTGAGGCTGAAGATTGTGTGTTCAATCCCTGCTGACAACTGTGATGTCTGTATATTTATGCAGCTACTCTTAACTACATAAAGCTGAAATTTAAACATGAATGATCACCCACAAACTGGGAGCATGGACCTTCTCCCAAAGGTACAAAAAGCAGACTAAAAATCAATGTTATTTAATATTAGTGGTGAATTAACTCCATTTTACAGGTAAAGAATCTGAAGCATAGAGAGATTGTTAAACGCCCACGGTCACAGATTGAGTCTGTGGCAGAACCAGCAAAGGAACATGGATGTCCTGACTCTCCATCCTCTATTATTATGCCCACTACAGTATGCTTTCACTTAGGGTATGTGTACACTGCACATTCCTTACAGTGTGTAAAGTACACACACTTCACACACCCCTGCCACAGATATAAATAGCAGTGCAGATGGTGAGGCACTGCTTAGGCAAGTAAAGACACACCCAAATCTTTAGGGTATGTACCCTACATGGCTCTCTGCATGCTCAAGCAGTGCCTCTCCCATCTACGCTGCTACTTATATCTGTGGCAGGGGTGTGTGAAGTGTGTGTACTTTACACACTATAAGGAATGTTTAGCTGCCTCCCTGCTGCTGGAGTCTTTCCCTGCTGCCAGGAAATACTCTGGCAGTGGAGAAAGGCTCCGGAAGGGGGCAAGCAGCAGGGAGCTACAAACTGCAGTGTGTGCATGCAGCCTGCTTCTCACTGCAGCGTGTAGCTACACATAACCTACATGCCACCACCAGTGGTGTGCAGTGTGGACACAGCCATAGTTACAGATGCCCTATCACAGTAACTACCTGCTACAGGTTGTGTGACACGCATTCACTGGTTTGTGCTGCCTACTTTTGTAGTAGATTTTTATGGGTTTTAGCTCTTTCTGTATGTTTCCTACAAAGGGGAACATATGGCTCTTTGTCACTGTATGTGTTTTGTACCATAAGTGGCATATCCTTCTAGGAGTACGGGGGGGGGGGGGTAGGGAGGAAAGGGGGAATTTGTGGAACAATTGACACATTTCAAACAAGTCTTTCTTGTAGTACACATTTCTCTCTGTTAAGTCCAGAAACTTTCTGAACAGCCAGAGTGGAAGGATCACTATGCCCCATGCCGAGGAAAGAGTGCAATGAGTAAGAGTTATGATGAAAAAAAATGAAATGGTGAGAAATTTCAGCAAAGGACTACACACTTTTCTCTGCTTCCACAAACAGGGGGAGCTCAAGCCCAGGAACCTGGCCAGGAGCTGCAGAAGAAGAAAATTGTCACTTGTGTTGCATGCTCCCTCCTTTTGCCGAACCCTATGGATTCCCAATAGTAGTTCTGTGATGCTGGAATTCTGGAGATAGGGATGGGGCTAGAGGTGGTAGGTCTCTGATGGATTCTCCTCCCACCCCCACTTGCAGAGCACAACAATATAATTCACTGTACCCTCAAATATTAAGTGCACCAGAAGTCCTGGAGCAGCAGATGAATGATCCCCCAACACCCTGGACTTCTTCAGGAGTTGTATTCACAGACTACATCATGGGTGACTGTGTGAAGTCAGGGTGCCTCGGAACAGCTCTTTGAAATCTAAAGGTTTCCAAGTGATAGTGCAAGGGGAGAATAGAGGAACAACACACACCTACAATAGAGGAAACTTCATGAATTGGTTCTTGTGGAGTTTATACGGCGCCACATGAGAATAAACTGCATAATAACTAAATTGTTTTATTCTTTTCTCCCTTATGGATGTTTTCACCATAAGACTATCAAAAAATTGCATAGCTGAGAACGGAAGAGCGGGAGTGTCAAAGGAACACAGCTAATATGATTAAAGGATGAGCTGAAGAGCTCTTCTGCCAAATTATATGTCAACCCTGGTAGCTGCTTCAGTTTAATAGTGTAAACCATGTGTGTGAGGAACCACATGCCTGTTCTGCAAAAATATATTAATGACAGAGTCCTAAGGTAAGGCTTGTTTAAGTGTCTGAAAATGCCAAGAGTTGCATTTGCACAGGGTGGTTGTTGGGAGATGGAATATTTTTGTGGTGTTTGAAAAGCTTGAACAAGGTTTTTGCTGTCATGGTTTGAAGACATTATTTCAGGGCTAGCTAATATTTTTCTTTGTTTCCATATGTGTCCTATAGAATAGTCGGGAGAAGGGCTTAAAGCACTTCTCCCCCCCAAAAGAAGTAACAATTTTGATTAATAAAATGGTGAGATATTTGTTGTTGTTCTTATTTTCTGCTTTACGGTGTAGTATTTTAACCATGGCTGTCTTCAGGCTATCGTGTTGAGTGTAGACATTTTAAATCCATCTTCTGTATGGTTGAATTACAGGGTAAGTCCACCTGGTTAATTTCAGCACTTATTTATGTGTCATGTGGATAGTTTTTTATGTGCTTCTCTGTCTATTTTCAAAGATTTGGACATATGAACAGCTTAGATTTAGGAGTATAATGTGCTAGACGTTGCTTTATGGGTTTTTTTTTAATGTGAACCTCACCTTTTTATTGGAGAAATTTGTATTTAGAACAGGAAATTAGTTTCTTATATAAGCAACATAGCTTTTGTGGGCAGGGAAATTACATTATGTACCTTAGAAACTGTCCTCTGCATTTAAGAATGAAATGAGGTTAGGGTGACCTTTTAATTGAATGAAGAACTCAATATTTTTTTCATAACATATCCTAGTGATCTGTAGTCAAGGGCACATTTACCCTGGGCTTACAGAGTCATATTCAGTCCTTAGTTCTTCTGGGGTGCATTAAAGAGGAAAGTCTGTCCTGATATATTAATTGACATTGCTACCACTCAGTCATAAAGCGAAAAACAAGTTCTGAATTAAAATATAGTTCTGGTTCATACAATTCATCTTATAAGATATGGTCTTAATTATTAGTCTTACTTTTTTCCATTTTTTTAAATCATAGGTGGGTTTTTATATAATAATAGTTATACAATGGATTATTTGGATTTGATTATTGAAGATAAAATATGGTAAAACAAAAGAAAATAACCAATATCTAATTTCCTTGGGAAATTCTTTAGTGAAGTATAGTAAACATAAAATAGCACTGTGTGAAGAATGTAGAAGTTATCTATTAATTTTAGAACATAAGAACATAAGAATGGACATGCTGGGTCAGACCTAAGGTCCATCTTGCCCAGTATCCTGTCTACTGACAGTGGCCAATGCCAGATGCCCCAGAGGGAGTGAACCTAACAGATAATGATCAAGTGGTCTCTTTCCTGCCATCCGTCTCCACCCTCTGACAAACAGAAGCTAGGGACACCATTCCCTACCCATCCTGGCTAATAGCCATTAATGGACTTAACCTCCATGAATTTATCCAGTTCCCTTTTAAACCCTGTTGTGATCCTAGCCTTCACTGATCACAGAGCCTCCTCAGGCAAGGAGTTCCACAGGTTGACTTTACTGAGGCCATAGTTAAATACAGGAAATTGCAATTTGTTTTGAAAAAGAGATGCACAGAAGCAACAACCACTATGTTTTTAAAGGGGCTTGGTTAAAATGCTGAGTATAAAGAACCTGTACTAGGAAATGGAAAATGGAGAAAGAACCAAATTACTATGTATACAGTCAATTCACATTTGCAGACTAATGCTCATGGCAGCAAAATTTAGAAAGAGTTAATGACCCAGCGAGGTTAAATTAAAAAAATGTATTTAAAAATAAATACTAGAGGGAAAAATTTGGTCTGTTATAACTGGGGTCAGATATTAAATTAATTATTCTAAAATGTTTGTTAGTAAATCACTCCTTAAATCAGAACTATAAGGGAAAGTCGTATGGCCATCCTGACACCCTAGGGCTACTTTTGCTTTCATGCTGGTGAGCATTTACCCATATGAGAAACTCCAGCCTGTTTTACCTCCACAGTCCCTGACATGCTATGTAGATGTCAAAGACATGCACACACCCTCAGCCACACAGTGTAGGCAGGAGCATGTTAAACGAGTAGCAAAAAGGAGAGGGAAAAAGAGGGAATATCTGAACCCTCAGCACAAAACTGAGATGTTGAGAACAAAATTAATCAAGGAACCAAACGTGAAAAGAAGAAATTCTTTAATTGTCTATACACCAATGCTAGAATATTGGTACCAAACAAGAGGAATTAGAATCACTCATTAATGAGCATAGATTATATCTAGTTGGTATTACTGAAATCTGGTGGGATGATTCCCATGATTGGAATGTTAACACCATTGATTTTAGGAAATATCGAAGGGGGTAAATGGTGAGGGGAATGGCACTCTGTCAGAATGACGTGACCTGTTTCTGAGTCACTGATGACTCAGAAGAAAATGATCACGAATACTTATGAATCATGTCCTAACACATAAAGCACAAGATGGAGTATTAGTATTAGGTGTCTGCTGCAGACCACCAAATCACACTAGGGAACAGGAGGACCTTTTCTTTATGAACCTATCTATAATGTGTAGGGAAAAAAAGGCGATCATGGGGGACTTCAATTTGAGTGACTTATGTGGGAATTCTCATGCTGCCAGTATTAAAACATCCCTGGTATTTTAAATAATATAGATGGCAATTTCATAACTCATAAATTGATTTGCATCTATTATGGGGGGAATTCTATATTAGCCCTCATATTGACAGATAAAGAGGAACTGATCACAGAGCTAAAATTAATGGTAACTTAGAAACAGGTGATTATGACTAGATCACATTTATAATGTGCAAACAGAATAAAGCCTAAACCAAAGATATATATAGTTGACTGTTTTAAAGGGCCAGTTTCAGAAAGCAATTATGAATCAAATCATCTGGGAGGAAGATTTTAAATAAAAAAAATGTGATGATAATTGGGAATTATTTAAGAACACTTTGCTACATGCCCCCAAAGTCACAATCCCACAATCAAGTTAGAAGGCTGTGTTGGTTAAAAAGCCAACCTGGTTTAGAGGGGAAGTGAAGGCAGCTCTCAGAGCCTGAATCCCACCAAGACTTGGGAGAAAGTCTGTGTAATGCAGTATGGAAGCATTAGCACAGCTGTGAGACCTGGGACCAGTAATCACAGGTTTATAATGCAGTCTGGATGTCCAAGCACAGGCTTGAAATCACTTGAAATCACACTGACTTAGTGTGCAGTGTAGACATCCTCAGTCTGACATCAGTCCTGGGAATGGGTATATGGGACTCAATTAATAAAGAATTAAAAGAGGGTAATATAATTAATGTCAATCAACACAGGTTTATGGAAAGTAGATGCTGTCTAAATAATTGGGTATCTTTTTTCTGCTGAAATTACCAGTTTGGCTGATAAAGATAATAGAGCTTATGTAATATGTTTAGACTTCTACAAGACATTTGACTTAGTACCACACAATAGCATCGTTAAAAAAGTAGAAAGATATAAAATTAACATGGCACACATTAAGTGGATTAAAAGCTGGCTAACTGATAGATCTCAAAATGTAAACAGGAAGTCGAGTCACCATTTAACTAGTGTGTTTCGAGTGGAGTCCTGCAAGTATTGGTTCTTGACCCTATGCTATTTAACATTTTGATTAACAACCTGGAATAAAACATAAAATCATCACTGATACGGTTTACAGATGACACAAAAATTGGGAGAGTGGTAAATAATGAAGAGGACACTTACTGACACAAAGCAATGTGTATCACTTGATAAACTGGTACAAACAAACGGTGTGTTTTATATGGCTCAGTGAAAATGTGTACATCTAGGAACAAAGACTGTAGGCCATACTTACATGATGGAGGGCTCTGTATCCTGGGAAGCAATGACTTTGAAAAAGATGTGGGTGTTATAATGGATAATCAGCTGAACACGAGCTCCTACTGCTGCGCTATGGCCAAAAGGAATAATGAGAATTTTGGATGCATAAACAGGGGAACCTCGAGTTGGTGTAGAAAGGTTATTTTACCTCTGTATTTGAAACTGGTGTGACCGTTGTTGGAATGCTGTATCCTGCTCTGGTGCTCACAATTCAAGAAGGATGTTGATAAATTGGAGAAGATTCAGAGAAGAGCTACAAGAATGGCTAAAGGAATAAAAAACATGCCCTTATAGTGATCGACTCAAGGAGCTCAAGCTTAACAAAGATAAGATTAAGGGGAGAGTTGATTGCAACCTGTAAGTTCCTACATCGGGAACAAATATTTAATAATAGGCTTTTCAGTCCATCAGAGAAAGTTATAACATGATCCAAGTGCTGGAACATGAAGTTAGACAAATTCAGACTGGAGATAAGACATACATTTATAACAGTGAGAGTAATTAGCCACTGGAATAATTTACCAAGGGTCATGGTGGATTCTCCATCACTGACAACTTTTCAATCAAGATTTTATAGTTTTTTTTTTCCCTAAAAGATCTGCTGTAATGGGTTGAGTTGAAGTTCTGTGGCCTGTGACATGCAGGAGGCCAGATTAGATTATCATAATGGCCCCTTCTGGCTTGGGAATCTGTGAATTTGCATAACAGAAATTTGAAAAACTTGGGTGCCAGTAAAGCAGGACCCAGATCACACATTATAATATTACAATCATACATTCAAATATATATATTGGCCCTATAAATGGGAAATTGCCCATTAGAAAGACGGACAACCTACAGCAACATGCTATTCCATGGCTGAATGTGCTTTTGGTGCTACTGCGAGCAACTAGATAGGAAGCAGTCTCAAAAGAAAGCCTCTCCCCTGTGAAGTGGTGAAATTTCTCATCATGGAATTGCATTTGCTCTAGATTCTGTGGGACCATTCCTACAAGATGAACGCTGCTCAGAAGGAGAGGCTGGTGAGAAGAAATAGCTGCCAGTCCAATGCTGTGTGCAGTTCTGGCCATCCCATATAAAAAACGATCTATTATAAATGGAAAAGGTACAGAGAAGTGCAACAAAAATTATTAAGGGTATGGAACGGCTTCCATATGAGGAGAGGTTAAAAAGACTAGC